TACAACAGCCAGAAAGTTTAAGTAACCAGAATTTTTTCTGCATTCTACTTTTACCATAAAAAGGTAATTGAAAGTAAATGATTTATTCAGAATACCCACTTCCTAAATGTGAACACATGTGTACTAACAGAAATCATATAGTTAATACAGACATAGCAAGACCTCCCCACCATCTCCATTTGTACTATTATATAGTAGTAATCAGTACTATGATGGTTATACCAAAGCCCTGAAGGGTCTTTTTGCAACTTATATTTTGTTTTTGTACCTTCATTTTCAATGCAAAACCAGATTTTCATTTAATGTTGCTTGCTTAAAGCAAGATATACCCGCTCTTATTTTTCAAGATGATGTTAGTTAAGAATGTTAAGTTGCATGCAAGCATACATTCCAAATTTATTTGGGGTTATTTGTGCTCCTAACCCTGTACATTGTCATAGACTACTGCTTTTCAAAGCATTTTACAAGGAACCCTAATTCTGTAGGATAGTGACAGGTATTATATGAGGAGGAAAAATCATTCCATGGACAATACTTGGTAAACGTTGAATTAAATAGATTTCTTTTTTAACTGTAGAACTTCTCAGATCCTTTAATATGTCAGTATGTGAATTTCAAGAGAGTAGATTTAGCATGTTCCCAAAGTTGTTTGATTTAGAACTGTTTTTTATGAAATATCTCTGGGCATTATTGTCCTCTAAATTCCCTTTGGGAAACAGGTGTATAGACAATCAGAACTTAACGATATAGCCAAATGGGTTCCTCCCTCATTTTCTCCAAGATACTACCAATATTCATCTCTTACTGGAAATGTCTTTGCTAATAGGAAATAATGATGGAATGATTTGAGGCTGTTTTTGAAGTCAGATATAAAATTTCACAGATTTTATATGTTTTCCTCAATAGGCATAACTTTCTGGGCTGAGTGACAATATTCCTTCCCATCTTTTCCACTATACTTTTGCAGTCAGTCAGACACTAACGCCCCATAAGTGCAGGAACCAAGGTTCATTCACTAGCACAGAGTGCCCACTGTCAAGTAGCACTCTGCAAATGTTTATCTATCAAATGAAGAAAATAATTTTTACAGTCGTTCGCGTTTCTAAACAAAGGAAAATGGTACCACATGTATACTGATTATTGTCCTGCAGTGCACCCCTCACCCCCGAAATAGTTGCCATGGTTCCCCATGTTTAAATTTCATGCCTGGGTGAATGTGAACGCAGGCTCACCACAGATGGAAACGTGGCTACATGACCTCTTCAGAGGGAAATGTGGCAACAGGGGCCAATAGCTTAGGGTTTGCTTCTTAACTAGGCTACAGGAGTATATACTGACAGGGATGGTTCTGTACTTTAGTTTGTAATGATGTTTCAGCATTTTGTTCGTAGAGGAAATGTAGTAAAAACCACTGTCCAACAACTTCTAAAGCTTTTATATTATTAATATTTTAACTTAGAATCTTGGCAGAAACATTTCAAAATATTTTTCTGTTTAGTTTCCCTATTCAGTACCCAAATTATCTAAGAACTCTGTATAAATAGTTTGTACACCTCCAGAGAAGGACAAACAGATGCTTAAAGAGTTAGGAATTTGCTGAAGTCAGATGTAGCAGGAGCAAAAGTGAGAAGAGAAGCCTAACGTTTAAAAAATTGTCTTTAAGCTATTGAAGCTTTAAGCTATTAAGCTGTACACAAATGATATCATTATTGATTCTGTCATTTCAAAGAGTCTAGTTAGTGCTTTAATAAATCCAGACTATATTATTTTTTGGAACCTTATATTCTTATAAATGATCAGTCAAAAGTATAAGAGGTACCACAACACACTAACTTGACTGGTTGGGAATATCAAGTGGTGGCAAAGTTATGGAGAAACTGGAACTCCCATGCATTCCTAGTGGGAGTACAAAATGGTTCAGCTACTGTACTTGAAAAAACTATTTTGTAGTATCTACTAAATATATGCCTTCCCTCTTAGATAGATAGATAGATAATAAAGATATCCAAGAGAAATGAGTGCCTGTGTCCAATAAGAGACATACACAAAAATGCTCATAACAGAATGTTCATTCACCATAGCCAAGAACTAGAAACACCCATCAACAGAAAAAAGAAATGGCTAAATAAATTTTGGCATGTTGTCACAATGGAGTACTACACAGCAATGAGAGGGAACAAACTACTGATATGCACAACAAACTACTGATATGAACAAGTTGTTAATAACACAACTTACTTATTAAGTTGAGGAAAAAAACCAGACACAAAAACTGCATGTTTCCTTTTATATGAGGTTCAAGAAGAACCAGCAGCATTAATCCATGATGATGATAGTCAGAACAGTGGTACAGGAATGGTATTGGCTAGGAAAGGCACACTACCTTCTGTGGTGATGTAAATACTCTATGTCTTGGTCTGAGTGGTGGTTAACTAGGTGTGTACATATGTAAGGGTTGGGGGTAAGGAGATAGAGAAAGAGAAAGGGAGAGGTGGCAATAGGTAGCTAAAACTTATTTGCTGTTTATGAGAAATTTCCTCTAAGGTATGATGTATAAATTTGATTCTGCTTCCTTATTTATGAACCTGAAACACCTTTTGTACCTTCAGAATAATCTAAAAACAGATGTATTTTTTTTCTTCCCTGGTTTTGTTTTGTTTTTGTAGTTTGGGAAAAGATTTGCAAGAACCTCTTGGTCATAGGTTGAATGCCTGGTGTGTGGGAGACACTGTACCAGGCTTTGGAGATCCAAAGATAATTAAGGCCCAGTGCTGCCACTGAGTCTTGTCGGGGTGATGGAGGTGGAAGCAGATTCTTATGGTCACATCACACATCAGCAGGGGCTATAAGAGAAGTGTGCTTTGGAAGTACAGAGCAAGGAGCCTCTCTCTCTCAGAATGTTCTGGAAGGCTTCACAGAAGGCACCACTAGGCCCTGCTTCTGTTTTTGCCATGTATCAGGGTCCTCGATATATAAAGCATCTACAATGGTGATTTAAGGCTGCTTTTCAATTACTGGAGAATAATTAAAATATTTTATGTAATCTGCACGTTTCCTTAGATATCACTGTAATCACTTCTTAGACCATTTTTCAAAGCCCTAGCAGTTTCAAGGATAAAAGAAGCTACCTGCGACAGATTTCTAGAAAGCAGCAACATTCTTTGAAATGCTTGTAAATGGAAAAGCAGTCTTTCTTCGAATTAGCTCTGAGGTAAACGCCATTATACCCAAACCGGACAGTTACTTTTCCTTTCAAGTAGTGTTTGCATATGCAGCTACCACACTGCCCAGAACACACGTACAGCATGAGCTCCTGAACCTAGGTGAGAAGCCTTCTGCTGGTTTTTATGTTCACACATGTATCTCTCCTGATAGCGGATGTACCTAGAAATCCTCTGTAGAGTCCTTGGTATTAGTGTGGTTCTTCCTAGAAACTGAGACAGTTTTAAGAGAAGCATCTCAGCTTATCAAGGGCAAATGAATTCTGTACTTTATACGTATTTAAATAACAGAACTATACTCCCTTTCGATGATCCTTCTCCTCGCAGAGAAGATGCAAAGATATTAAAAATTCTGCAAGCATAGAAAAGTGTTTTTTAAAGAAAGAAAGAAAATAAAGGGCTAGGACACATGTTACCTATCAGACTCATCTCTTTTTTAGTAATTTCGAAATCAGATCGTAAAATCTAGAATGATGTCATCACATCCATACAATTACACTGAGTCTTCAAACTTGAAAATATCTTATGCCCAGTGATGTGAATTTTTTTTTTTTTAACTTGAGATCGATATTATAAAATGGTGGGTGCTAGTATCCAGGTGGTCCAAACTGTGTATTTTCCATTCTCCTGTTTCCACAGCTCTAGTCCTCTGTGCATTTTGCTCTTTTGTCAGGTTGAGAAGGCACCCTCTTTACATGTGTCTGTGTAAATGGATGAGGGGTGAGTCTGAGGAAGAGTCTAGCTTGGGGAACTGGTTAGAGGGGGATTTCACTTGCAGAGATAGGGAATACAAAGGAAGAACAAGTTTGGGAGGAAGGTCTTTGCCGTGGCCCCAGAGAAGGAATGTTCTAGGGGGACAGCGTGAAGCATGCCTCCAGTGATCACACAGAGCACTGCAGGTAGGGAGGCCTTCCCGGCCCGCCACCCGTGACCCTGAGTCCTCAACCAGTGACATCTTGGTGAAATCCTTTGGGGTATTATTATCCTGGAAAAAACATTTCTTTTGTTCTTGTCAGTTCTTCTGTTTAACTTACATTGCTATGGAAATGATTGTTTCTTTTTTTGGGGGGGGGTGTTTGTTTTTTTGTCTTTGGCACTCAGCGTGGCTTACAGGATCTTAGTTCCCTGATCAGGGATCGAACCCCAGCCCACAGCAGTGAAGGTGCCAAGTCCTAACCACTGGACCACCAGGGAATTCCTGGAAATGACTGTTTTAGAAATACAGACATTTAAAATTGTAATTAGGCATAAGACCAAAAAAATAAAAAAAGAGCCAGTTATTCAGTCTCCACAGTGAGGAGAGTCAATCTGAATCAGATAAACCCTGTTTCAAATCTTGGTTCTACCATTTACTAGCTGATCGGGTCTTGAACAAGTTGCTTAACTTCTGGAGTCTCAGCTTCCTTATCTTTAAAAATAAGAGTCACTGCAGGAAAAAAGACACAGACGTAGAGAATGGACTTGGGGACACGGGGAGGGGAAAGGGGAAGCTAGGATGAATTGAGAGAGTGGCATGGACATATATACACTACCAAATGTAAAATAGATAGCTAGTGGGAAGCAGCTGCATTGCACAGGGAGATCAGCTCCATGCTTTGTGACCACCTAGAGGGGTGGGATAGGGAGGGTGGGAGGGAGACGCAAGAGGGAGGGGATATGAGGATATATGTATATGTATAGATGATTCACTTTGTTATAAAGCAGAAACTAACACACCATTGTAAAGCAATTATATTCCAATAAAGATGTTAAAAAAAAAGTAGAGTCACTGATACTCACTTTATACCACTAAACTGAAGATGCTGTAAGGGGACAGATGAAGTCCATCCAGCACAGTACTTTACATCTTCTGTGCCTTACAGATGTTTTCTTTCCCTCCTTCTCTAGCCCACCTCTTTAACCTCTAGATGGGATGAAAGTGAAAAATTTTTAGAGAAGAGATCACAAAATAACACAAAACCCCACAATAATCCATGTGACATTTAACAGTTCTTCTTGTCAGAAAATGCTTCCTTCTTTCCAACCAGAATTCCTAATGCTGCAGTCTAAGTCCTCTCCATTGTGGCCTTCTCCTTTTCTGTTTGCAGTTTTAATCTTGCTAAACAAACAGCATGAAACATCCTAATCTTCAGGAGCATATTTTCTTTAGTTCTTACCTTTAATAGCTAAAGCACAAAATATAGTGGGAGCCCCAGAATCCTCTGTAGACCTTATCTTCATTTCTGGTCGCCCAGATTGATTAGTTAGCATGTATCTCTGTGTACCTTCTAGATGAAGATGTGTTAAGTAGAAACTTTGGGGAGAGTGGGTATTGCAGAATGAACTGTACCTTGGTAGCTCCTTCCAGCTGAGGAGCTCCAAATCCTTCCCATTTAAGGAAAGTAGTGCCCACAGATTTTAAGATGCTGAAGAATGTTTGAGCCTGCACTTTGGTTCTAAAACTCTGCTTCCACTTCCCTCATCACTTGCACTAACCAGATAAGTTGCAAGTGTTCATTTAATAGTTTACATGCAGCCTGTGTAAGGATGAACATAGTAACCAAGGAGGAAGAAGGCATGGACTTTAGAGACATTCAGCTGTTCTCATCATCAAAAGTCAATTTGTAAATATTCTCTTCCAAGTCTTGGGTGATGATGTGGCCTCCCAAAGCATATAGATTTTCTTAAGAGTTAAAAAAACAACTTTTAAAAGGAAACAATGAGCTCTACAGCCTGCCATATCCTGTGTTCAGAATAATTTTCATTTCTATTTATCTGTGAAGGTTGAAGGAATGTCTACAAATATTTGCTTGGTTTCTATGGTGAAGGCAGAGAGAGATCAAGTGTGTGATTGTTCAGTGTCAAAATCAAAACTACACTATACTGTACTTCTAAAAAGAGAGTTTGTTACTTGAAACATAATAGACGTTTAGCAAGTGGTAACTATTTTAAGTTTCACAAGTTCAGGATGAAATTTAAACAATATGGCCTGAAGGAAAACATGGGCCCTTCAAGCATTTTAAAGCTTCACTTTTCGAAAATAAAATGGTCCTCACACTTTATTAAAAAGTCATCTGTTGATTAAAGATAATGTTGGTGGACTCGCAGGATGCCTTGTGTGGGTATGGGGGCATGACCGTTGATCTGTAAATTTCTACTATACTAGAAATCCCTGCATCCTGCCCTAGGTTATCCCTCCTAAATCTGTAACCCTCCATTCTGCTGTCTTCTGGCTATGCATACAGTTTTGGAGCAGACGCAATGCTTTGCCAGGTGCTGGGGATGAAAAGTCTGCTTAGAAACAGTCTCTACTCTCAAAGGGCTGATTTTAGGTCTAGTAGGCAGTAAGTACACAGTGAATGGGATACAGTGTGATAAGCGCTATGTTTCCATGTAATTGGGAGGACTAGGCAGGGCAAGATTCACAAGAATTAAGAATGGGGTGATGAGAGGACATTCCAGAGCAAGGTCTCAGTGTATGAGAAGGCCACGAGGCATGACACAGCATGCATGTTTGTACAACCATAAAGCCTCTGAGCGGGTTGAGGAAGCTTTCCCGTGAAGGAGGAACAGGCAATAAAGCCAGAGAGAGGGTGGGAGCCAGATCATGAGGGTGCCGTGGGTCAACTGCACTTGAACTTGACCCTGAAAGCTCTCAAGGATGGTTAAAGGATTTTAAGCAGGTATGGAGTGAGCACAGCTGCAGATATAGTAGAGAGGACAGAGTAGAAGGAGGCAGACTAGTAGGAAGAGACCCCAGAGGAAGCTGTTGGGCCTGCAGGAGAGGACAGGCTCATGGTGGAACTGTCAGGATCTGGTGATTTCCCTGATGGCGGGGGTGAGTGGGAACCTGGGTAGGTGGTGATTTTGCTGTCAGAGAGAGGGTATCTAAGAGGAGAAGCATGTTTCAGAGGAAAGACAAAGCGTGCATTTTGGAATTGAAGTACCTATGGGAGTACTGAGTGGTGATATCCAGGAGACAGTTGGATATATGTGTCAGATACTCTGCAGGGTATGGACTTGAGGATTATCCACAAACGATGCTCCCCAGGAATTGTGCATCACGTAAGAAAAGCAGCGGCCTGAGGATATAGCCTTAGAGAAACAATTATTTAAGGGACTGATTGGGGAAGAGACCGCCAAGGAGTTACTGGAAAGTCACTAGGACAGGACCCCGGCATTCTGCACTTATATCACTACACAGACCCAATACACCCACCCCAGGTTCTCCTTCAGCCAGCTGATTTGACTTGCTGCTTTTCTAGTTTGTGACCACCCATCCAGGACTAACAGGGTACCTCTCATAGAGTGGGCACTCACATGATGAACTGAAGTTCATTTGGACCTTTAAAGGCTTGATGTCTAGAGTAACACCTTTTTTAGGTAGATCTGCTTAGACATTAACAAAATGAGGAGAGGTGTAAGGCTCAGAAAGAGATGGTAAGTGCCACTGATACCATGAAAGGTCAGAGCCTGGATCCTTGAACTCCACCTTCATTCATCCTTCAGTGGGTCATTATCATACCCCTTTGGACACAGGATGCAGGCCTCTGTCTGCTGAGTACCTCTTCCCCAGAGATTCCCTTCATCTCTATCTCAGCTTATTTTCCCTCTGCCATTGCTCTTTGAGTCTTCTTATGCATCCTCTGATCAAATCAGGTTCAGCCTCACCTCCCTCCACAGATCCAGTTCCTTTTTTAAAAATTCATGATTACTAAAAGGTCCTCAATTATTATTAGACATTGTTGTCCCCATATTCTCCAGGCTAGAGGACTGCCTCTGTCCACCACCAGCACTGCCCCCAGGAGTTAGTTCCCTGTGGTTCATTCATGTATCCAATCATCAGATAATTGGTGAGCACCCTCCATGCATGACACTATATATATACTGTGGCTGGTGAATTGAATGACTGTAATGGAAAATAGAAAGGGTCAAGAGCTATAGAAGTACAGCAGAAGTTCAGGGGCGAGCGATCACTTCTAGCTGAGAGATCAGGAAAGGCTTCCTGGAGGAAGTGATATGTGAGAATTCAGAACAGCAGACACTCAAATAAAGAATGTCCCACAGAGAGGACCACAGAAGAAGTGGCCAGGTAGCTGGAAATCAGCACATCTAAGTGGGAGCCAGTGGCCCCAGGAGAGTCTGCACAGCTGAGGTTCTGGAAAGACAGACAGCCTTCCTGCTGGTAGTAGATGCACAGCAGAGGCCATGATCGTAATTGGCTCAGTGCTGAGAATCTCATTTTTGTGTAGACTTCGGCCATTTTTTGTCATGTATCAAAACATCTTTTTCTGGCCTTTAGGTCAGAAAATGCATCCAGTTGAGGTGACTCCATTATTATTTGTTGCCAATTACTTTGTGTGTTAACTTTTATTGGTATTTAATAACTCTTTTAATAATTCCCATTTAACTGGCTTATAATGACAAGACTGTGCTGGGAAGAATTAAAATTCTGATTGTTTGTGATATCTTAATTTAAATGTCTGATTTTAAAGAATTGAATTTTGAGACCCTTTAGGGAAAGTCAGTGAAATTACCACAAATTTTTTTTTTTAATTTATTTTTGGCTGCATTGGGTCTTCATTGCTGCACATGGGCTTTCTCTAGTTGCAGCGAGCAGGGGCTACTCTTTGTTGCATTGTGTGGGCTTCTCATTGTGGTGGCTTCTCTTGCTGTGGAGCACGGGCTCTAGGCGCGTGGGCTTCAGTAGTTGCGGGCTCAGTAGTTGTGGCTCGCGGGCTTAGTTGCTCTGTGGCATGTGAGATATTCCCGGACCGGGGCTCGAACCTGTGTCCCCTGCATTGGCAGGCAGATTCTTAACCACTGCGCCACCAGGGAAGCCCATTACCCCACCAGTTTTGATTTTCACTTTGCAAAAGCATAGAAGTCTTCTGGAGGGAAGGAACATACTAGAGAGTTTTATACTGGTGTGAAGCAAATAAACAGCTTAGAGAACAGCTTAGAAAGCCTTCACTTTGACAATATAGAAATCCTGAGTTATTCCATATTTCTCAGAAATCATTACAGAAGTTTACATTTGAGACTTGTTGAAGTCAGCCCCAGAAGAAGAATCACCACACTGGTCCCCCCCATAAGTAGTCACTAAACCAAAGGTCAGGCAAGGATGTCTTGGTTCTGTACAGTATATGCATTTTTTAAATCTTCATTACCATTGCCACATCATTTAGGGCCTCTTAGAATGCTAACAGAAATCACCTTATAGATTATCCAGTCTAAATGTCCTCTTTGACAGATGTGAAAGCTGAGAAAAAGTCGCCACCCACACTCGTTTCTTCATCTGCAAACTGGATGTGTTAGTCAGGGTCCCAACAGGAAATAGATGGCACACTCAAAATATGACACTTCAAGGAAGGTTTGTTTACAGAGACACGATTTACAAAGAAGTGGATTTAGGGGAAGCCCAGCGAATGGTACTAACCTGAGTCTTAGTTGCATCAGACTGTTACCATTCCCAGGCTTGAAGCGAAGATAGGGTGCAGCTACTGGAGTTGGGTAGAGTGGGCTGCCCGGGATGGACATTGACTTTGTGATGGCAGCACTGCCAGCTCTGGACAACCTTGCTGGGAGGAAATCAAGGTGTTAAAGACTCAGCCTCACTCTTCTTCTCTCCAGACTCCTGCCTAGGCTTCCCATTGGCCAAACCCAGTAGGAAGCTGGGGGCAAATGGTAGATACAGATCCACCTGTGAGCACTGGGCCCATCCAGAGAGGCAAAAGGAAGATAACCAGCACAATGTGCATACCACGCTTTCCTGCTCTTTAAGCATGTAGCCATAGAATAAGGATGACTCAGATAACATCTACTAAGGTTTTCAGGATCTTGGTGAAAGGGTACATGAATAAAAGACTGTAAAATCTAATATTAAGTAAGAATGCTTTACTCTGACATGTATTTTGAGTCAGAGTTGGCCTTGGCTCTACTTTATCTTATACTGTTATTGAACTGTTTCAAAAAAAATGTGAATAGAGATCAAAGCAGTTTAAACAGATACGTCCACTTGTGTAAATATCCTTGAACTCCCCCATCTTCCACTCCCCCTCCTGTTGCCAAATCCATTCAGCACCTCTAGAGGCTGTTAATTCATGTAATGATTGTAATAAACATAGTATTTGCTTTGGTTCCAGCTGGCTCCAACCACCAAACTCTGTCCATAGCTCCTATTGTTACTTTGCTTAGTAGACAACTGCATTGTTACCATTAGAAGCCACCTTTGTCATAGATTTCTAAGTGTTGATCTTTATACATTGTATTCATTGTTTCCTTCAACATCTTTTGACAGTTACATTTTGTGTTTAAGGATATGTAGAATTATTAAACTTAGAGAACATGTAAGTAGAAGTTAATTGATTACATTGTTGAAAATGTTCCATATTACTTCATGCACTAAAACCTTGAAACATTTTTATCAGTTTTGCCTATTCTTATAAAACCTCCAATTAAAAACTAATAAATCTTCTTACCTGTGACTTAACTGGTTTTAAGTTAGGCAGTCTTCCATCAGAAGTTTTTAGAGGTACAGAACTATAATAGTTCCTAAGGAAACAATTTATATTTTACTGTGCGGGAAATTTGTTCTCAAAAACTTGGAAATTACAGAAATTGTCATTATTTGAGATATTTTAAATTACAGTGACTTAAAGTAAGGATTGAGGGACTCTGGGTTAGAGAATGGACCAGCCACATAAATTAGCAAGTTAAAACTGGGGAAGCTCTTGATACATGAGATAATATTATATACATAGGGAACGACTATTAGATTTACGTATACTGCAAAAGGCAGTAATTTGTTATTTTAAATGTAGGCTCTAGGCAGTGTTGAGGTTATTTTCTTGGAGAATTAACTAGAAATGTACAATTCATACTTACTTTGGAATTGAAGCACATTGAATTCTACAAGGGTTAAACCAAAAAAAGATTTCTCTTTAGACAAACGCTGATAGTTCAAATAGAGTATAAACATAAACCTAATAAATGAATCTAATTCCTCTCACCTTGTTACAATGATTTACACATAAACCAAGCAAAACTCTTAGGGACACCAAAGAGATTTTTAAATCTTAACTTTCATTGAAGTTATCAAATGGGAATTTGATGAATACATGTCACACCATACAGAGCACTGTTGTGGTTCAGAAGTAAGTTTTGAAGTTATAGAAACCTTTTTCTTAAACCTTTTTTTAAGGAAATCATTTAACCCCAAAGGATAGTTGCATTTTTGAGATTTGTAATCTCTTTTAAAAGTTCACGTTAAACTTTTTCAAAGTAAATTTAAATTCTTTTTCTGTTGGTTCTTTAATTACAACCTGTATGTTTGCCTGTTGATTTGTGGATGTTTGGAATACTGAATGAAAGGTGCCAGGTTGGATGTTGAGGAAGGAGCACAAGGTTGAAATCAGTCCCAGGGAGAATCCCAGCTCTTCCAACGTGTCAGCTCCATGACCCTGGCTAAATTACCCAACCTCTCTGAAATTGTTTTCTCGGCTATAAAATGTGCTTACCGACAGCAGCTGACTGATCTTGTGCCTCTGAAATTGTCGTCCAGCCCCTCCTTTCCTTTCCACTTGCCACCTCCCACACTGCCATGTTTCCACGACAACTGTCCACTTAAAGCTTGATGTCTATGTATAGAATCCTGGCAGACATTTTTGTATGCATAAATGATTATTATATTTACACCGACACGTAATCTGTTAATAAAAATTGGAAAATATTTTGTACTGCTCCAAAACTTCTCTATTCACTTAACAGTGAATCATGGACATCTTTTTATGTGAGCAGCAATGAGCAGGATGAGAACTAGCTCATCTTTTTTGATGGCTGAATAATATTCCCCTATTGGGAATTACTGTGGAGTAAACATTCTTGTGAATACCTCTTTGTGTACTAGTCTGAATATTTCTATAGGATAAATTCCCATGAATGGAACTCTGCTTCAGAGACATGGGGACTGTTAATTTCATAGATACCACCAGACTGTCCTCTAAAAAGATTGTGCCAATTTGCAATTTAAAACATACAGGGTTCCCATGAATTTATGGTTACCAGGGGGAAGGTGGGGGAAGGGATAGATTGGGAGCTTGGGATTGACGTGTACACACTGCTGTATTTAAAATAGGTAACCAGGGGCTTCCCTGGTGGTGCAGGGGTTAAGAATCTGCCTGCCAATGCAGGGGACACGGGTTCGAGCTGCAACTAGAGAAAGCCTGCATGCAGCAACGAAGACCCAACGCAGATGAAAAATAAATAAATTAAATAAATTTTTTAAAAGTTAAAAAAAATAAAATAGATAACCAACAGAGACCTACTGTATAGCACAGGGAACACCACTAAATATTCTGTAATAACCTAAATGGGAAAAGAATTTGAAAAAGAGTAGATACATGTATATGTATAACTGAATCACTTTGCTGTACACTTGAAACTAACATGGCTTTGTGAATGAGCTATACTTCAATGTAAAATAAAAATTATAAATAAATAAAATAAAACTTACAGGTTCCCATACCATGACCAACCCTGAATAGTGTCATTCTGTCCTTTCTGCCAATCAGGCAAAAATGATACCCTCTTATTGTGATGGCTTTCTTCCTTTCTTCCTTCCTTCCTTTCTTTCCTTCTCTCCTTCCTTTCTTTTCTTCCTTTCTTTTTATGAGATTGAGTATCTTTGATAGTTTTTTCTTCTTTTGAATTGTCTTTTCATATTTTTTTATCCATTTTTCTGTTGTATTGTTTTATTGATGTAATTTGTTTTAGATGTTTTCTCCCAGGTTGTCATTTATCCTTTCCTTTACTGTATTTACAGTGTTTGGTGAAGAAAATTTCTGGGTTTTTTTGGTTTGTTTTTTGTTTTTGTTTTTTTAAATATATTTATTTACTTATTTATTTTTGGCTGTGTTGGGTCTTCGTTGCTGCCCGCAGGCTTTCTCTAGTTGCGGCGAGCGGGGGTGCGCGGGCTTCTCATTGTGGTGGCTTCTCTTGTTGCGGAGCTCGGGCTCTAGGCACGCAGACTTCACTAGTTGTGACTCGCGGGCTCTAGAGCGCAGGCTTAGTAGTTGTGGTGCACCAGCTTGGTTGCTCCGCAACATGTGGGATCTTCCCAGACCAGGGCTCGAACCCGTGTCCCCTTCATTGGCAGGTGGATTCTTAACCACTGTGCCACCAGGGAAGTCCAGGATTTCAGTTTTAAATAGCTGGATCTATAAATCTTTTCATCTCAAGCTTCTAGATTTCCCGTGATGCTGAAAAAGGCCTCCACATCCCAAGGTCCTCTTATGTTTTCTTCGAATACATTTTTCTAGCTCTCCTTACATTTAGATCTTGCATCTATACAGTTTCTTCTTATACATGGTGTAAACTAGAGATCAAACTTATTTTCTTCCAAATGGGTGGCCAGTTGTCTTGCTTTCACATATTCTAGTGCATTTCCTCTCTAAGATGAAAGAGAGACCACCTATAAGAATATCTTATAAATATCTTGTAAATATCACCTTGTAAATCAGAATCTCATTATCTTGCTGGACTTTATTCTTTTTTTTTTTTTGTGGTATGCAGGCCTCTCACTGCTGCGGCCTCTCCCGTTGCGGAGCACAGGCTCCAGGCGCGCAGGCCCAGCGGCCATGGCTCACGGGCCCAGCCGTTCCGTGGCATGGGGGATCCTCCCGAACTGGGGCACGAACCCATGTCCCCTGCATTGGCAGGCGGACTCGCAACCACTGCGCCACCAGGGAAGCCCCCTATTCTTTTTTTTTTTTTTTAAATCTGTTAGCACCTACTATTTTATTTGCTGTATCTTAGATTATATTTTGGTGACAGAGGACAAATCCCCTTCATCCTTATTTCTCGAACTATTTTTGGCTCTTCTTAAGTGTTACTCTGCCAGAGGCACCTGATTGTCAAAGTTAACTTACTCCCCCAAATCACTGGATCGTCTTAAATTTTTGTGTTAGTACAGGAATAATGATTATCTTTATGATATGGCTTTTTCCCATCTTAGTCATGGTCTGTCTCACCATTTATTTAGATTTCATTTTATGTTCTTCAATAATAGTGTATCATTTTATTTATATAGATCTTGCTGTTTTTTAATTCCTCAGTGTTTCACATTTTTTTGTTACTATATGAATGGGATCCTTTTTTCCATTATGTTTTGTAACTGATTTACTAGCATTTGTGTATTTACTTTGTATCTTATGTCCACCATCATCTAAATTTTTATTATCTGAATAATATGTTTTGTAATAAATTTTATTTTCTAAAACATAAGGCCAATGTGTATAAGGCAGAAACCCTTAGAAGTACAAGGAGATTCTGGGGGAAGGAAAACACAAACTCAATTCTCTTTCAAAGTTTGACAAATAAAGTATAGAAAAATATAAGTAAGGATCTGTATGAGACAAACTCTGTTTAATAAAGAACTTTACTCTTAAAAGAGAGTATTCTCCTTACACCCTACAGAACAAAAGCCAGTTATGTGCATAGTCATAAAGAAAAGAAATTCTAGGGACTTCCCTGTTGGTCCAGTGGTAAAGAATCCACCTTGCAACGCAGGGGACGCTGGGTTCGATCCCTGGTCAGGGAACTAAGATCCCACATGCTGCTGGGCAACTAAGCCCGAGTGCCACAACTACTGAGCTCGCGCGCCTCAGCTAGAGAGCCTGCGTGCTGCAAACTACAGAGCCCACTCGCCCTGGAGCCTGCACGCCACAACTAGAGAAGAGAAAAACCACACGCCACGACTAGAGAGAAGCCCGTGCACCACAACGAAGAGCCCGCATGCCTCAATGAAGATCCCTCGTGCCGCAACTAAGACTCAACGCAGCCAAAAATGAAATAAATAATAAATAAATCTTCTTAAAAAAAAAGAAAAATTCTACAGGTTACATTCTCTGGCTATGATGAAATAAGACTAGAAATACAGCAGCTAACAGTTAACCATAAATAATCTGATCATATGGAAATTTTAAAACTCTTTTCTAAATAATTCTTCAAATTAGTTTATTCTTGGATTAAAGAGAAAATTAAAGGTAAATTACATATTATTTAAAGCTGAACAAAAATGAGGACGGTTTATTTAATAATATATAACTAAATGTTCTGTCATTAACCAAAACTAAAATAATAAATTACCCAAGTTTCAACTCATAAATAAATTTTAAAAAACAAAGAAACTAAGAGGGGGTATTTAAAAAGATAAAAGTAGACGTCAACAAATTATTAAATAAAACAATCCTCCCAAAATGGAAATAAATCTTGAAGTCAGTTTCTTTTAAATAAATAATATAGCTAAACTCCTGACAAACCTGATTGATATAAAGAGAAAAATTTTTTCTTTCTCAGAAAACCAAGAAAATAGATGAGATTAAAATAATTACAAGAAATACTATGTACAAATTTAAGCCAATACATTTTAAAATCTACATTAAAGAGTTTCATTGGGAAATTCCTTATTATTACCAGAATTGACTCAAAAAGTAGTTGAAACCTGAACAGACTAACTACCAACAAGAAATTTACGAGATTGTTAAAGACATAATGCTAGGAAAGATCCAGATCCAGATGGTTTTATGAGTCCTTTCAAAGGACTGATTATTATGTCATTTATAATATTCCAGAATATAGAAAAGGATGGAAAGTCTGCATATCCTTAATACAAACCTGAAAAATTACACACAAAAAAACTATAGATCAGTCTCATTCATCAGTATAAGTTTATGTCCTAAAATAAATATTAACAAATAGAATCCAAAGATCTAGTAAAAGAATAATAAACCATGATTAGGAATGATTTATTCCAAGAAGGGAAGGGTGGTACAATATTGGGAAATCTATTAATGTAATTAATATATCATTAATAGAATAAAAGAGTGATCAAATGGTCATTATTAATAGACATTTTAAAAAGCATTTGAGGGGCTTCCCTGGTGGCACAGTGGTTGAGAGTCCGCCTGCCAATGCAGGGGAGGTGGGTTCGTGCCCCGGTCCGGGAGGATCCCGTATGCCGCGGAGCAGCTGGGCCCGTGGGCCATGGCCGCTGGGCCTGGCCGTCCGGAACCCTGTGCCCCGAAGGGGGAAAGGCAAAAAAAAGAAAAGGCCCGCTAACCGAAAAAAAAAAAAAAAAAAGCATTTGATAAAAATCTGTTACCCATTTTGAGAGGTCACTAAATTTTAAAAGGAATAGAAGGAAACTTCTTTAATATATCAATATTTTTCTTATTATTTTCCTTGTCTAAACATTTATTTGATGATCATAATAAGTCTCACTGATTAAAGTACTGAAAATGAACATAGTGCTACCTAAAGTGTTTTAGAAAGGGTAATCGATCAGAAATCACAGACTCTTTAGAACAGCTTAAATAAGGCTGTATTTGGATTAAACTTTTCATCTCATATGATGTTAGACTTTATTTCGAACTGAAGTGAGAAGATAAGTATGTGATCTCATAATATCTGTGTATGTCTGTAAACCACTGGAGTGGAACTTTATGGAAAGTTTGCCCCTGCACTTTGGTATACAGTGTATTAGAGAAATAGGGAAATGTTCCACCAGCTAGAAATATTGGTAAAGCAGAAATAAATTATTTAACTAAAAACTAACGCCCAGAATTGGACACTCTTCTTAACAAAAGTAGTGAGTATCTTCTTTTTGGGGGTTGACTGGTAATTGAATTTTGCCCACTTATCTTCTAGGAATGATTGCCTTAAAATCACCAGTTTGGTATTTGTTAAAACACAATTGTTATGTGCGCAGTATTATGATGGGCATTTACAGGCATAATGATGGATGAAATTGGGTCCATGCCCTCTGGAAGGACCCATATTATGAACTATTTTACAAAGTATGATTTTTAGGTGGCATTTGGTTCAGGGAGGTGATGATGTCAAAACTGAGCTTTGTAGGATAAGCAGAATTTCAACCTGTGAAGGAGAAAGTAGAGCTTCCCAAACTAGAACAGTGTCAACAAAAGCATGGAGGCAGGAACTGGAGGATAAGTTTGTATAATTGAGTGGTTCTCAAACCTAGCCAAGGGTTAGGGTTACCTAAAGAAGTTTAAACAAAAAAAAAAAGAAGAAGAAGAAGAAGAAGAATTTCAGTGGACCCACCCATGGAGATCTAATTCAGTTAGGGGCAAGATAAGGGCCCAGACACATGTGTTTTTCTAAAAGCCCCATGGATGATTCTGATGTATAGGCAGGGTTGAGAGCCAGTGGTGTGGTCTCGTGCGAGAAGGATATGGAGGTACTTTATGATCACTCACAATCCTGTGAGTTGACTGGACTCAACTGGGCAGTTCTTCTGCTCCATGTGACATTGGCAGGGGCACAGTCACCTGGGGGACCAGTCAGGATGGAATGTCCAAAATGGCTAACTCACATGGCCTTTCAGCTGAGAGCTCAGCTGGGGCTGTCAATTGGAACATCTTTGTGGGCTTCTCATTGCATAGCAGCTGGGTTCCAAGAGGAAGCATCTCAAGAGCAAGCATTCAAAAAGGCCCAGGCAACCAGGCTTCCTATGACCTATAGCTTTGGTAGTCTCAGATGTTACTTCCACCATATTCTGTTGGTCAAGCAAGTCACTAAGGCCAACTCAGATTCAATGGAAAGTGAACTAAACTCCAATCCTTGATGAGAGGAGTGTGCATATAAGGAAAGAAGGAAATTGATGGCAACCATTTTTTTTTGAGAATTGCTACTGCAGTCTTTAGGCACTAAGTACTATAGCATCAAAGTACATAAACAGAATTTCAGGAAATTTAGACATCAGTGAAAGTACAATTAAGTAAGACAATAAGTAATGATAAAAGGAATCTGGATAATATAAAATGCTTATGTAATAGATTTATGTATTGAATTCCTTTATATACCTTCATTTCAGACATCCATAGAATTTCTGCTCCCCGCAAAAAAGAGGCATTTGAACCCCTATATACTCTTATAAATGTGGAACCTTAATGATATGGTTGTGTTTGTTTTATCTATTATTATACAGTGCTCAGTATTAAATGGGGTTCTTCCCATATTGGAATCTCTTCCTCTGGATGACTTTTTACACATGGTATAAACAATTGGGTTATACATTCTCTCTCAAGTTCTTCTTCATGTTTTGTTTTCTGGAAAGAGTGGCATTGAAGGGGGCTTTATTTTGATTCCCCACAGTCTCACGATAAGAGTAGTTTTGACTTGTTCGGGTGCTCTGTAGACTTCAAGGTCACCATCCAGCAGCCACTGGAGTAATCTTCCAATTTCCCAAAATTGCTGACGTGGGAATTGAGCTGCAATCGTTGCCATCATCTGTTTTCCACGTATTGTTTTTTAAAGCCCCTTAAGAAAGAAATAATTGTTTCAAGGTAAGGGTTTGTTTAAGTCTTTGCTTTTGCTTTCTGAAACTCAGTTATTTTATCATACTAACAAGACACCCAGAGTCCGAGGTGAGAACCCAGGTGGTGGGGGTGATGTAATTTCCTGGCCTGTCAGTGATGAGTCCTGGTTACTTATTGCTTCTGTCTGTGTCCCCCATGTGATTTGAGGAGTTCTTTCCGAGCTGAGTCTTGGCATTAAACCACCCAGGGTGAGGAGTCAAGCAAACAACCGTCCCCCTCAGTAACTCTCCACTCCGTTTGCCGTTGCAGGTCGTCACGCTGTGGTACAGAGCTCCAGAAGTCTTGCTTCAGTCCAGCTACGCCACCCCTGTGGACCTCTGGAGTGTTGGTTGCATATTTGCAGAAATGTTTCGTAGAAAGTAAGAAATACCTTTTGTTTCACTCTGTCTCCCTTGGAAAGAAACGTTTCGGGTCTTGGATAATTTCAGTGGCAGCCTAGCATCCCTCTTTCAAGTAGGAACATGGTATCCAGCTCCACCTGCCTGCGGCTCCCACTTCCAAGCATGTCCTGAAACTGCCTTCTCAGTCCTTACAATGTAGTTGGGTGTGGTTGTAGCTTCCGGCTCTTGGAAACTCTGGAAGGGAACACTCCAGTGTTCATACAATTTATTTTGTTTTTGTTGGCAATGAGAGGATGTGGCAAACATGAAGCGCGTTATGGTTTTTTTGTGTGAGGAAACATCCTCAAGGTGGACTTTTCCACAAGAAGAGGACCAGGGCTGTTAAGTATATGGAAATTTTGATGGTGGGTTGAAAAAACAAAATGTTTAGACTGAAAAGGCACAGGCAAGAAAGATGTCTGCGCCATTTCAGAATACTTTAAATGCTGTCATGGAGAGGAGAGGTTAGACATATTCAGGCACTATAGAGAGCAGAACCAAAGATATTAAAATTACAGAGATAAAGATTTTTGCTCAAAGGCAAAAAAAAAATCTAATGATTAGAGTTATCTGAAGAGAAGATCAGGGTTCATGAAAATAGTGCTTTCTCAATGGGTGTCCAAGAAGAGACTGGACCACTACACACTGTAGATGTTTTCAGTGGCATTCCTAGAATGGGTGGGTGGGCGAGATGACCTCCAGGGCCCCTCTGAGTCTGAAAGTCTGTGGTTCATTTGTTTGATTTTCAGGTCATAAGAAATAGCCAAACAATATAATAAAGATCTGCCAGGAAAATAATCCAGACCTGAGCACTAAATTCAGCCTGGTCAAAATTAAACAGAGAGCCTAATCATAATCTAATCTCTCTTTGTCTTCTATTTTTATTTCCATGGGAAAATGTGAGTTGGGAAGTTGAATATTTTCCCACTGGACATGTTATATTCAAAACGTAGTTACGTGCTAGCTCACAAGAAAAAGAGGTGGTCAGCCATTTCTTGCTTGTCTGTCTGTTTGTTTGTTTTAACCAAATGAAGTTTTGTGCATGTAACAAATTTGGGGAACTATTCTAGACCTCAGCAGATTCATCTGTAGCTCACAGAGGGGGATCATGGCAAGGTGATCAAAGTACACAGATGTTTAATGCAGGCCTATTGTGTGCCAATTACAGGACCAAACCTCTTTTCCTTGTGTTACCTTTTTATTCCTCACGATAAGAGATAACTGAGATGCAGTGGTAAATTTATTTGTCTAACATCAAACAGCTAAAAAGTACGAGGGGTATTACTCCAGAGGAAGTCTTGTGACTCTGGTGGTGTTTTTCTACCAAGGAGGGAAGAAAAAAAAAATATATTGAATTCAGCTGCAATGTTTGCCAAATAGGCTAAATAAGTGGTTTTGGAAGTGTGGTTCTTGGACCAGCAGTATCCAAAAAGGTGACCTTTTTTGGAAGTGCAAATTCTTGGGCCTCACCCCAGACCGACTAGATCAGAAGCGCTTGGGCTGGGGCCCAGCAACCTTTGTTTTCACAAGCCCTCCAGGTGATCCTAATTCATCCTCCAGGGTAAGAACCACTGAGTTTGGATGAGAGAATCAGCAGGAATGGTCAGTCGTTAAATGTGCAACTCCCAGACCTCTCTCTTGAAATTCTGATTCATTATTGGACTGAGGCCTGACGTTCTTGTTTGTTTTGTTTTTTTTAACATTTTAAAAAATATTTTATTTATTTATTTGGCTGCATTGAGTCTTCGTTGCTGCACACGGGTTCTCTCTAGTTGCGGCGAGCAGAGGCTACTCTTCGTTGTGGTGCGCAGACTTCTCACTGCGGTGGCCTCTCTTGTTGTGGAGCACGGGCTCCAGGCACGCAGGCTTCAGTAGTTGTGGCATGTGGGCTCAGTAGTTGTGGCTCGAGGGCTCTAGAGCACAGGCTCAGTAGTTGTGGCGCATGGGCTTAATTGCTCCGCGGCATGTGGGATCTTCCTGGACCAGGGCTCAAACCCGTGTCCCCTGCATTGGCAGGCGGATTCTTTAACCACTGCGCCACCAGGTAAGTCCTGGCATTCTTGTTTTTAAACGTGTGTCATGTAATTCTTTTCATCAGGCAAGTGTGGAAAATTTGGGGTTAAAGGCTTATTGTCAGAACCAGGAATAATTTACTGTCAATATTGCAGTGTGGGAGTTGGGACAGTCATTTCAGTTCATCCCATGAATAAACTGGTGCAGCTGAGAGTTGATTAGAGAAGTATTTATTGGAATTACTTGGATGCGTCTAGGATTGTCCTCAAATGTAAAGATTGGGTCCTTCTTTTGTTATGGGGGAAGAATGATCAGTTATTTTTCAATAGTACAAAACTTGAATACCAGCCATCATTGACGATAAAAACAATCTTCTTCTGGAAGATGTTAAAAGAAAGATGAAATTTAAGATATGTAGTGTTAAAGTGTTCTCTAGTAAGGGATGTACTTTATTTTTAAGTATAGGTAGTCAGCACTTATGGAACAATTGCAGCCCAAATTTTCATTTTATAGCATTAAAACATTCTCCCACGGAAGTGGTAGTATAGTTGGTAATCTGGTCCCAGTCTAGCTTGCAAAGAATCCTGTATAACCTGGAACATATACAGAACATTATTTATCAAAACCTATTTTCTATTTACAACATTTTTTTTCTAGGGTAAAGTCCATTCTATGTTCCAATCCAGGATGACAGGAATACCCATCTCTTCAGGCCAGCATTGGGTCTCAGAAGGGAGACTCAGTATTGGAGGCTCAGAGAGAAACTCCTTTGACAACAGCAGCAGGTCTGCTTCACTTTTCTGGGAAAGTGAGATGTTGGGTAGAGACCCATTGGCTCTTCAAATGTGCACAAAAGAAAGTACCCCTCTCTTGGAGCCTTGCACGGAGATAGTAAATTGAGAAATAATTGCCAGGAGCGGGAAGCAATATCAGAATCCAGGCGCGTGTGCCTTTAAGGCTGAAGGACAATGGATCCATCTGGGCCTGCCACCCTTCCTGGGGCGGGTGCTCTGTCTCTTAGGTAGTTCCTGCCGGTTGGGATGTGACCTTGAAAACAACCATGGGATCTGACCCTTGTTCCTGCTCAGTTCACGTTTGGTATTTCCTATGATAACACCCAGATATCTGAATGTGAAGCCTTCTCACTTATGCCAGCTGAGTTCAGGGGTCCAGCCACCGGCTTCACCTGCTTCCAGCTTAACTCCTGATTCAGTGCTGACCCACCTGTTGCAGTGTCCAGCTGAGAACTCACAAGCCGTGGATTCTGGAAGCAGACTCCCTCATTGCCTTAGGCTGACCCTAAATCAGGGAGTCCTGGTACGTGTCCACTCAGGGTTCCTCCTTGTTGCTATGGCAGTGTTCCCAAATTGTGTCATCTTTTTTAACACCTTCATGGTTTTTGCCATATTCATGATAACTATACTTACTTAATTTCTTTACTATCTTAAATTAATTAACTTTTTATTTAGCCTCATCTTAAGCAAAAATATATAAAATCACAGAATTGATGAACCAGTTATTTGTCTAACATACACTAAAATTCATACATAACCCTTAAAATTAAACAATTTAGTCCATGTTCAGCCCCTGAAATCATCTCCCATATCACCCAGGTGTGTGTCACATGTTGGAAACAGATGTTTCATTCATTCTACAGATAACTTTACTGAGTGGCTACTATATGCAAGGTCCTTTTCTAGAGGAATAATTTACACCCTAGTGCAGAAGAGAGGCATTGCATTTGCAATTAGTCAATTAACCAGAGCTGGGGTAAATGCTGTGAAGTGTAGGTTTCTATGAATGGGTATAATGAGAAGCTTGTCTCCACAGAGGAAAGAGATTTCTCAATGGAAGACTAGAAGTCAGGATTAACCTTCTCCAGAGGTCGTATCCTAGTTGTTTATATAAGAACATTGAGGAATAACCATTTATGCATCAGCAAGGCTCACCATCCTCCCTAATCTAGGGAGAAAAAAAGAAGCAAAGGGAGTTAACAGTTGTCTGTCATGTGACAGACCCAGGGCCGGGCACTTCACATCTATTATCTCACTAAACCCACATTCTGAAGACTGTTTTCCTGTTTACCAAAGCCTTCCACAAGGAGTATAAATAACTTGTCCATAGGCATACAGCTCTTAAATGGCAGAGCCAAATTTGAACCTAAGTCTACCTGACTCTCTAACCTTTGATTTTCCCACTCTGCCATGTTTCTACCCTGGCTGTGGTTTTATTAGGTACCATATTTTTTTTCTAGAATGTTTCATGCATTATTACAATGTAGCAGCAACAATATTTTAGGGAGGTCAAGAAGCAAACCACACATCTAATAGCTTTGATTTCTAGCCTTTCCTATAGTGGAAAGGCTGACCAATTTCTGTGATATTGTAAAGAACTGCATGCCTTTTATTCTAAAATGTGATACCTAGCAAATATGAACTCAGGAAAAAGAATCTTAGGGCAGATGGTTGACAAAGAGCCAGAGAGTTTAAATACCATCTGTCATTATTTTCTGGGTTTAATAATTGCCACACTGACCTTCAGTAGCGTTCTATGAAAGTAGATAAGAGTTGGATCTTTTATCTTCCTCCTTTAACTCTTCATCAATGGGTGATCCATCTTTACTCCACATTGACTTATATATATATATATATATATATATATATATATATATATATAAATTTATTTATTTTATTTTTGGCTGTGTTGGGTCTTTGTTGCTGCGTGCGGGCTTTCTCTGGTTGTGGTGAGCGGGGTTACTCTTTGTTGCAGTGCGCAGGCTTCTCATTGCGATGGCTTCTCTTGTGGCAGAGCACGGGCTCTAGGCGCGCAGGCTTCAGTACTTGTGGCACGCAGGCTCAGTAGTTGTGGCACGCAGGCTCAGTAGTTGTGGCTCGCAGGCTCAGTAGTTGTGGCTCGCAGGCTCAGTAGTTGTGGCGCACAGGCGTAGTTGCTCCACGGCATGTGGG